ATGGCCTGTTTAGAAGCAGCCCTGGAGAGTAGGAATTCACATGCAGTTCTGGGTTTCCTTGTTAGGTAATTAGGATCACAGTGAATGGCAACTGTTCTTTGTCTAAAAAGGTAAAAATAATTATAGGACACACTTCCCATTCTCATTGAATATATTCTAGATATGTCCAATAGCAAAATCCATGTATACAGTCCATTATGCCCAAATTAGATGTAATTGACTGCTGAATCAGTGTACCAGACACTGATAGGTAGAAACAGTGGCCATTGGAGTTATTCACCACCATTATATGCTATCCTCCCCCATTATATGCTATCCCCCTCTCTCTTGGCCTGGTGCTACTGAGGATCACCACTTTTTGCCTCATGGGTTTGCTACCTGATTGTACTATGCTGTGACATGTCTTCCTTTGGCCCTCTCTGCTGACTCTGATTTATTACCTTAGTTACCTATGCTTTCCCCAAAGACCCCCTCCTGTTCTCTGCAAATGACCTTACTTCATACTTTACTTAGCATGTTAAGGCTATCCAGCTTGAATTCCTGAATTCAAATCCTAGCTCAAAGCTACAAAGAACTCTGGGAACATGAAGCTGTCTTCTTACATATCCTTTCCACCTCTATTCCTGTTTGAGAGAAAAATGTGATTCTGTGTCTAGATATGATAAGTAACCCTTTCCACTGGGCCCATCATCACATCCTTTCTTTCTCCTCCAGGATTGTGTCCCATGAGTCATTGCTTCTCTGCCTTGAAGGGTCATTCTCTCCCTCTTTCCATGTCGAGCCCTCTTCTATCTTTTTAAAAAAGAAAAAGTTTCCTTTCACCCTGTTACTTTCTCAGCCTCCCGTCTTTGTCTCTTCTCTCCCTTTTACTGTCAGACTACTTCAAAGAATACTTTATACTTTTTACCATTACCTCAACACCAAACTTTTTAAATTGACTTCTTTTCCCTCCCTAGATGTCCCATCTTATCTAAAACTAAACAGTCACTTTCATGGTCTATTTCTCCACCCCTACCCCAAACTGGAAGAATTTCTATTTTATCTTTGAGCTCAAAAACAAAAAGGTCCTGGGGCTCTTAACCCAAGGGATTAACTTGCTCAGACCTTTGTTTTAGGCATATCAATCTTGCAACTGTGTGGAGAATGGACTGGAGATAAGCTGGATGCCATCAGTCCAATTAGAAAACTAGTGAAATCATCCAAACAGGAAAGAAGTAATGAGAGCCTCAGTAGGAGGGATTTTAGTTGTGAGTAGACTAGGATTACACAGAGAAGAGATATTGTGGGGGACGAATGGATGAGACTTGGGAACTGATGACAAGGGAGGAATAAATGAAAGTGAAGAGTAAAAGATTAACCGTAGATCTTGAATCTGGGTCACTTCAGGTAACGGTGGAACCTTCAATAGAAATAGGGAAGTTGAGGGGAGAGAAGAGTTTGGCAAAAGGAAAAAAAAAATAGTGATTTCAGTTTTGATATGCTGAGTATGAGTTACCTGTGGGTCATTTATATACAGATGACTCCCAGGTCTGTATATCCAGCCTTCATCTCTCTTCTGACCTCCACACCGTATAACCAACTGCCCACTTAGTATATCTGCCTGAAATGTCCTGGAAGCATCATGCATTCATTTTGTCCACAATGAAATATTCCCTTCCCTTTCTCAAACTTTTCTGTTTCTGCTGAGGACACCATCATCCTTATAGTCAGCCAGGTTCACTATCTTACAACTTTGGAGTCTTCCCCACCTCTTTCTTTTCCTTCAGTTCCAACCTACCCCCATATTGATTCAATAAGACTTGTTGCTTGTGCCTCTATAGTGTCTTTCATGTCTGTCCCCATCTCTCTACCCATACAGCTCTTCTCATCTTAGCTTGGGCCCTCCTTACCTCTTGGATAAGAGCAGTATACTAATTGGTACTGTTGCCCTACATTTCTCTCCTCAAATCCACTTTTTACGTAGTATTTCTTAAACACAGATCTGACCATATTACTCCTGTCCTCAAAATCCCTCAGCCGGGAATTTAAAGACCCCCCCACAGTATTTTAGTCTTCTGCCTTTCCAGTCGTCTTTCCTATTATTCTCCCTTACAATGTCTGTTCCAATCAGTTTGTCCTACCAGTTGTATCCTCTACATGACATTACTTCTGCCACTTCTTGCCTTTTACACAAATTATCCCCTATGTCTGGAATGCAGTCTTTTCGTGTTATAGGATTGCTAGCTTCCTTAAAGGCTCCAACACAAGGTCATTCATGGGCCTTTCCCATTTGTTAGTGTCTTCTCCCTCTTGAAATGACTTCGTATACACTTAAATTGGTGGCATGTTTTGTCTTCCAAGTAGAATGCAAGCTCCTTGAGAGTAAGAATGGTTTCTCTTTGGCTTTTGTATCTTCATTGCCTAATTCTCCTTTCTTGGTATCTTGTAAATAGTAGAAGCTTAATAAATGGATATTAAATTGAATAAACAAAGCATGATACTATTGGGCATGTGCCACCCATTACTTAACTGGTATCATGAGTGTGAAGAGAGCTGACCAGCAGCTAAGAACTACACAATGTGACTTTACCCCTTTGTAATGCAGAAAATTTTTCAGAGGTCAAGCAAGGTTTTAATTAAGATTATTTTGATTTGTCAACCTTTCTTCCTCTCTTCTCTACCCCCCTCTGCCCCACAGCTTTTAGGAGGTGGTCACAATAAACCTAGTGTTTTCTGTCATGGAAAGAGGTCATGTTACCAAGCCTTCAACTATAATTTCTTTGCCGTTTTAAAATTATGATTCTTAGATTAATGTATGAATTCACTATGACAAATGGGAAAAAATCAAGATAATTAGTCTGACAATGGTACAGTATATATAGTTATAGGTTATAATGTATAGGCTGAGTTATTGTTCTGCAAATTTAATCTTTTGAAAACCTGAAGTTTTTCAGCTGACATTTGAAACTGGAAAAAGGTGTTTTTTAAAAATTGCAAGTATAGTGCAATAAAAAAAAGTAAAATTCTGTTTAGAGTGAATAAAGAAAATGATAATACAAGTTTACATTTATGTGGTACTTTAAGGTTTGTGAAACATTTTACATTTTTTTACCTCATTTGATCCTCACAACAACCTTATGAAGTACAAGCTATTTTTATTCCCCTTTTACAGTTGAGGAAACAGTGGGTAAGAGGTTAAATGACTTGCCCAGGGTCACACAGGTAAGTCTCTGAGGCAGGATTTGAAGTCAGGTCTTCCTGATTTTAGATCTAGGAACACTGAATTAATTTGCTCTTTACAAGGTGGTTTGTTTTTTAAAGAATTTATTTTACTTTAGTTTACTATAAAATCTTAATGAAAATTTTAGTGCCATACTGTCATAATTAAAGGATCCATCCACCTCTCTTTTACCTAAATGTTCATTGAATTGTTTTGCACTCTGTATGTGAGCTTGTTTGAACATTTGTGGCAAGTGTTTATTGTGTCAAAACAATTATGTATCACATTCTAAAATTGAAAACTCAATTAACCAGGAGTAACTGTAATTTGCGTCCTCTCAAACACGTAATTTTTACTTACAAAGGCAAAAATGACATTAAAATGAGCTCAGAATAAAAAATTAATTTGAAGCAGATAAGTTGCTTCTCCCCATCCACAGTTTCAGGGTATGTCTTCAGGTCAGGGCACATTCAGCCCAGGTACCTATGCTTTATAATTTTATTGCAGTTTAAATTGGAAACTCTCTTCTTAAAAAGGACAACTCTGAGACCTAGAAGATCCTCAGTCAGTTAGGGCAGGGGAAAGGATTCCATCAGTTACACTATATCCTTCTTGAAACGAGTTAAAACAGGAGGTCCATATATCTTTTCAAAATTTTTCAACCAGATTGCAAACCAAAAGGAAATTTCATCTAATTTACAGTTCATCAGAAAACTCAGCCCTAATTCCCATACTCAGAACATTTTAGAGAATGAAAATCTTACTCTATTAATATAAAAGCATCCCTTAAATATATATGTGCATATACACACATATATATCCCATTTTTATCAGCCTTTATTTTTAGTTGAAAAAAAAGAATAGACCACTTATTGATAGTTCAAAGTACTTTACCTCCATTATCTTATTTGATCTTCACTGCAGCCTTGGGAGGTTGGTAGGGTAGGTATTTTCCACATTTTATAGATGAGGAAACTGAGGCTCTGAGTTGTTAAATAGCTAATGAAATGACAGGGCCAGCCCTCAAAGCCATGATGTCAGAATGTTGATAGGAGGGGAAGTGAAAGGACTACTTTGTGTAACAAAAGACTTGTATTTTAATTTTAACAATCTGCAAATATGAAGAATTTATCATTACACTTTTCAATTTTAATTGGTAGTTAACTCTCACATCTAGTTCTCTTTAAAATTTCAATTGCTAGAAAGTCATGACCCCAACCTTCCACAGAGAGTAAATATGCACATATATATTTAGATGTGTTTTGCATGTATACACACCCATACACACACACCCCAACATTATAAGCCCTTGGAAAATAGGTACCCATTTTATTAGAGCCTGTCTAGACCCCCCTCTTCTGTAGGTTAAGAAGGTTCATTGAAAGTAATTTGAGCAAAATTTGATGGTTTGTGTAGATTACTGCAGGCCCACTTATTTTATCTCCCAGGTCAAGGCTCATTCCCTTGCCCCCAGGCCCAGTAAGTCTGTTGCAGTGTTCCTCAGCCAGAATTCTACCTCCTCAGTTGAAGTGAGTCTCTGTTCATTGCCTCTCCCACCTGCCACATGGCTTGTATATAAATTTTCTGCCTCAAAATACTGGAGTTGCAATTGGAAAGGCCTAGGCTTAAATCCCAGGTATTTAAAGCTCTGTGCAGAGCCTCAGTTCCTTCATCTTCAAATGGGGATAATTCCCCTTGTATTACCTGCTGCAGAAGGTTGGAGTGCTATGTGAACATGAACTGTTATTACTAATAATCCATTGTATCAGTATTCATTCTTGAACATTTTCTTTTCATCAAGGCTGAGTTAGTAAAAGGAAACTTACAAAGTGTCGGACTTACACTTCGCCTCGTTCAGTCGTCTGATGGATATGGTGGACATGTCGTAATTGAAACTGTGGCACCAAATTCCCCTGCCTCACTTGCAGATCTTCAGCGGGGAGACAGACTTATAGCCATTGGAGGTAATTTCTGCTGTTGCTCTTTACATTGAACTTAAATGATTCTGATTTAGAAAAATAACTTTTTAAACTAGTGCGTGGTGTTAAGCCAGTGGATTGATATTCACAATATCACAATTCCATTCCCTCCCGCTTTTTCACCTCATCAACTTTTGAACACAATTCTTTTTTCTCCTATAGTATCATTTTTTCTCACATCCTCTCCTTCCCTGCCCCTGGAGACTCTACTCTTTCTCTCTCTCTCTCTCTCTCTCTCTCTCTCTCTCTCTCTCCCTCTCCCCCCCCCCACCCCCAAAATAAACCTCTTCCAGTAAACTTAATGGGAATATATCCAACTCCTAACATAAAAATGCTTTGCAAATGCAAGGTATCATAATTCCTCTTGTTGCTGGCTGCCACCACTACTACTATATGGGAGAATAAGGCAGTTATCATTCTGGGAGGAGAATAAATGGGTATAGTACCTCTTGGCTATAGGCCTTAACCCTGTTCCCAGATTAACCATTTAGCAGAAGATGCTGTTGAACACAATGGGATAACATTCACATAGGTCATCTTGGAATACCACGTACATGTATGTAGATAAACATTCATTTAGCTAACATGTATTTATTTACATTATTAAGTTTAAAGTCCTGTAACATACTAGGTGCTGAGAAAAATGTAAAGTTAAATTGGTTCCATACTCAAGAAACTTACATTCTAATACGGTATTTGCCATAGCAATGAATGAATGCCCTGTTGTCCATATCAGGAAGTGCAAGTTATCTAATTTAGAAATTATCTCATTTTCCTTGTTTATAATCTTATTCAGTGACCATTAATAAATCATCCTGTTGAATTTTTATGTAAAGAATCAGAATTTAGCCCATATTTTCAAATGAAAACACCTGCTAAAGGCTTAAAGTGTACAACTTTTACCTGACAATTGAAAGTTAAAGCTTGAGTATGACTTCTTTGAAAAGAATCCTGGTGACTACATCCTATAACATAGGGATCATTAAGTCTAGCTCCCTCCGTTTGTGCATGAGAAAACTGAAGTTCAGAGGGGTCCAGGGACTTGCCCTTTCACAGACAGTTAGGTCACAAATGGTAGAGCCGAGATCCAAGCCCGTTCAGTACTCTCCACTCCCCGCATGCTTTATTCCTGTGGCCTATTCAGAGTAGCCCTGACAATACCAGGATAAATAACAGAAAGCTAGGAGGAAGAAGGCATCACTTTGTTCAAGTACTTGTATGCCCAATTTTTAGAAACTTTTCTGCCGCTTTTCTCCTTCCAAGAAAGATAATAAATTGTTTTGTTTAAGCAAGGGTATTAGGCAGAGTAAGACCTAATGACAAGCAGGGACTAATTTACTAAACTACACCTTATTTTGTATTTGCTTTCAACAAACTAGTTTTGAAAATTAAATCCAGTGATGATGCTCTTGTTAGCCATAATATCTTGTTAACCATTTTTTCCCAGGTAAGTTAGTCTTCTTCTCTCCCAGAGCCCATGAAGTACTTTGTATCCCTCCACCAAAGTGACAGCTTCTTGTCTTTTTCCCATGCTGGCTTAAATACCAAGAATCTCTTTTCAAGTAAAACAATTACCCAACCACTTTCTCTTGGGCCACATAGATGGTAACTTGCAGTCAGGATCTCAGGCCTCTGGATTGTGTTTTCCCTCCTACCTTGCTCTCTCTCAGCAGTATTAACACACACATCAGCCTGGTTTGACTATGTGTGCAATATTCAACACCCATAATCCTTCATATCGTCAAAGGGAATGTTTTCCCATCTCTTCAAAGAACAATCTTGATCATAGCAATTACACATTCAATTTCTTCCTATTTTTCTTTGTCCTTTATTGTAGTCATTGTCTTGTTGCTTTTTTGGGTTCTATTTACTTTATTAGTTCACATGCTTTCTCATGTTTTTCTCAATTCTTCATATTAATTATTTCTTATAGCACACATATTCCATTATATTTATGTACCACAATTTGTTTAGTCATTCTCCACAGCACCTGCTTGGTGTCCAATTCTTTGCTACTCCTAAAAGGTCTGCTATAGATACTTTGTTGTTCATGACACATTTCTTTCTGCCTTTGTCTTCCTATGTATGCCTAGCAAAGGGATCTCTGGGTCAATTTAGTCATTTTTTAAAAGCATAACTCTAATTTCTGTTTTCTTTGGAATAGACCAATGATTTCCTTGGCATAGCCAGTTTAAGAAAAAAAACCCTTTTACTAAAGAAAGTCATCTGCTTTTCAACTTACAGTTTTAAAGCATTGTCTGGGGTGCTGGGAGCTTAAATGATTTGTATAAGGCCACATAACCAGCATCTGTCACAGGTAGGATTTGAACGTAGGCCTCCCCGACTCAATGGCCAGCTCTCTATCCACTACCCCATCCTACCTCTAGATTTCATGTTCCTTTCTAAAATGATCATACCAACTCATGGCTCTACCACAGTATTAGTGTGATTGTCTTCCCACAGCCTCTCCAACACTGACTATTTCCAAAATTTGTGATATTTGCCAATATTCTGGGTGTCAAATAAAACCTCGAGATGTTTTGATTTGCGTTTTTCTTATAATTAGTGATTTAAAGCAGTCTTTTCACTGGCATCTAATAGTGTGTAATTCTTTTGAGAACTTTTTGTTTATATCCTTTGGCCACTTATCCCTTTCTCTCAATACATTTTAAGAAGTAAAATAATTCTGAGTATATGTTTGGTTTGAAAGAGTATAAATTCTCAACTGTTTGCTTATTTGTATTTTGATATTGAATAGGGTGGCACTAAATCTATAATTTCAGAAAAATCTATCCCAAGGCCAAATAAGTTTTCTTTAATTATCTGAGCCCATGCATCCCTCAATTAATGCAAATAATCAAAAGTTGACTATAATATTTATAGTAGATTGAAATGATTCTCGTGGCAGTAATTTACTGTTTTTTTGTTTGTTTGTTTTTATCTTAAATAGGAGTTAAAATCACATCTACAATCCAAGTGTTAAAGCTCATTAAGCAAGCAGGTGACAGAGTGATGGTGTATTATGAAAGGCCTGTTGGTCAGAGTAATCAAGGATCAGTAGTACAGGATAGTTTTACACCAGTGGAAGATAATAGTCTTCTGGCAAATTCATATCAACCGAATTTTGAAGAAGACATAGCTAGCCTTGTAGAGGATATTGATAACAAAGATATAGATTTAGAATTTGAAGATTTGGCATGTGATGTCAAGGTACAAAATGAATCCAAAGATGAGATTCCATCAGTAAGTCAGAGTCCCAAGCGAAGTTCAGCACAAGTTAATAAGTCTTATGGATCTGTCTCACCAATTTTAAGCCGTAAACCATCAAGTTACGTGGTACCACGAAGTTCTCAAGTCAAAGATGCACCCAAATTAGTGACACATAGGGTCTCTGAAACCTTAGACCCAGCACAACAGTCAGCAAGAGCATCACAGACATCTCTTCTTAAGCCTTCTGTGTCACCCAGGCCACAAATGAAATCTGTTCCACCCTCTACTCAAAGCCAGACAGAATTAGACATACTTGTTGAAAAAACAGAGAAGCCACCTTCTCTTCCACAAACAGAAAAACTCCCAGAAAAGTTAGTGACAAATATTAATCATACAGAAGATGCATCCATGTCAAAGCCATCTGTGGTAAAGCAGGAAGTGGTAAAAGACCCAGTTTCAGACAGTGCTAATAAGGACAGTGCAGATGACCAAACATGGGAATCAGCAGAAATTCTTTATCATCATAAAGTAGGTAAATGGACAAGAAAGAAGGGAACTTGTATATTTGACATAGAAGACTGCCATAAGTACCTGAATGTTGCATTGTGGTGCAGAGATCCTTTCAAGGTGGGGGGTCTCATCTGCTTAGGACATGTTAGTGTAAAACTGGAAGAGATTGCTTTAGGGTGTTTAGCTACTTCAAACTTGGACTATTTTACAAAATTCAGATTGAATCCTCCAAAACCTAAAGCTATGGTTACTAGAACTGCATTGCGAAATCTGAATATGCAAAAGGGATTCAATGAAACATTTTGCTTTGGTGACATTACTATGCATTTCAAATACTTGAAAGAAGGAGAATATGAACAATATGTGAATCTTATGGAGAAGGAAAAAGAAAGCAATTTGATAGAGGATGTTCCTGCCCTTATTAAAGATGAATATTTTCTTGGACAGATGAATTTTGCAGAAAATAAACATTGTTTCCAAGACACTCAATTCCAGAATCCAACATGGTGTGATTATTGTAAGAAGAAAGTTTGGACTAAAGCAGCTTCCCAGTGCATATTTTGTGCTTATGTTTGCCACAAAAAATGTCAAGAAAAATGCTTTTCTGAGACTCCTCTTTGTGTGGGACCTGAGAAGCAAATGGACCGGATCTTGAAAAACTTGCGGATAGAAGGGCAAGAAAATATCATAGGAATGTCTTCTAATAAATCAGTTGGTAAAAGTACAGGTATAACAAGGCATTTATGGAATACTAGCTCTCGTATCTTAAGCTTGCGTCAAAGCGTTAGAAGAAACCAAGGTGAACAAATTGCTGAATTGGTAGAACCCTCACCCAAGCTAACACCAAACACTTCTGATAATGAAGGCAGTGATACAGAAGGTTTTGGTCCAAATAGTCCTTCCAAGCGGGTAGGCAGCTCAGGAATCAAATTGGCAAGGAAAGAAGGAGGCCTAGATGACAGTGTCTTCATCGCAGTTAAAGAAATTGGCCGTGACCTTTATAGGGGTTTACCTAATGAGGAAAGATTCCAGAAGCTAGAATTCATGTTAGATAAACTGCAGAATGAAATTGACCAGGAGCTGGAACACAACAATTCAATTGCTAGAGAAGAGAAAGAGGCAACCGACTCAAAGAAAAAAGCACTCCTTTCGACTGCCTTGACTAAATCAGGTGAAAGACTACAAGCTTTAACACTTCTTATGATACACTACAGAGCAGGTATTGAAGATTTAGAACTAGAAACTCTGTCTTTATATCAAACCAAAAAAGTGGCTACAGATGATGCAGAAGAAGACCTCGATAATGAAATATGTGAACTAATGGAGGCTCAACCTTTTGACAGCATATCAGATGAGTTATTTGACTCATCTGAACCTCTGTAGTATACTGTTTGCCTATTTAACCTTCCAAACAATTTCGGGAAAAGAATTGCACTTACTAAAATACATCAGATACACCCCCATTTAAACACTCTTATAATATGTATGGCCTGCTTCTCCACATTTATTTGCCTGTCTTAACAAAAAATGATAGTTGTTTTCTTTCCCCCCAGCAAAATGTATGACCTTTTGACTTGGCTAAATTGGTTGATTTGGATTGTATTATAACATGGTTTTTGGGTTAATACTAGTAATTTATTTTTACTAATTTATTTCTAACTTTTTCTATTATGGAAACTAACATTTCATGTTGATGTTCTTTTCCTTTTTGTTTCTGAATCAGTGTTAAATAGTATACTGTCAGAATTCTTAAAATGTTTTAATTTACATCATGGTGATAGTTATGAACTTGCTGCATGCCCGAACTGATAATACAGCAATCATTGAAGGAATAGGTTTTGATATTTTTGATCGTGTTACATTTATTTTTGTCTCAAATTGGTTGTAGGATGTTTTCTTGATGGGGGGATGGGTGTGGGTAGAGGAACAATGGGTGATATTTGTTGGAGGTGAATTTGGATTGGGTTTTTTTTGGGGGGGAGGAGGTTGGCCAAACGTTATATGAAAGCAAACACTGTGGCTTTTATTTTGTCTACGATTATTTAGTAAAGATATTATATATGATGTTGCTTGCTTTCTATGCTGTTGTTTTAAAAAATGTTCTTTTCAAAAGTTGTGCAGTTGAATTTTGGCAGTGTTAAGACCCAGTTCAGTGCTTTCTTTGAAGAGCTAGCACTGTTGAAATACAGAAAGTAAAAGGTACAATTTGATGCATTTGGTCAAGAATTTCTAGCCAGGTCACTAACATTTTTTGCCTGTCAGGTTAAGAATTTTAAAATTATGAAAAATATAACCAATAGATCTTTGATATTTAACCTTTCAAAATGTTGATGCTTTACCTTTTATAGATTGGTGTATTTGCTAAAAAGCATTTAAAGTTCTAAACATTTAGACACTTAAAAATCTTTATCCTGCAGAAAGTAAGATATGTAAAAGAATGTCACGTTTCAGAAGACTGTAAAGAAGTTGGGTTGGCAATGGTGTTTTGTTTTAGAAACAGGTTTATGTTTGTACTGAAGAAGGCTTTGGGGAAGAGCATTGTACAGAAACATGTTTGATCCATCACCTGTCTCCTCTATCACAAAATTTCATTTAGACCAATGGAATGGATGTTCTCATTCAGAATGCTTTTATGTAACATAGGTAGAATTGGGGCCACTTCTCTAAAAAGAAGACATGAGATGATCGTGGAGTCAGATCAGCCGTCCTTACTACCATGTAATGGACAGGAGATGTATATGTATTCTCTTTCTCTATCTCTCCCCTTCTCATCCCCTCCCTCCCTGCTCTCTCTTAAAATATTTTGAATGTTTTAGCTTTTTGCATATGTAGAAATCATATATGCATATTTTCTTCCCTGTGGGTAGGTACTTTACAAGAGAATTGGTTTTTAGAACTTACTGGAATTTAGACTGACTATAAAACAAGTTAAAATTTACAGATAGTTTATGTATGATGGCTTCTAAAGCTCACTGGCCCAGGAGGTGAAACCTGAGTTTTAGTCCAAGCATTTCAACTAATAAGCTCTGTGACCTTAGGCAAATCACATAACCTCTCTGTGCCTCAGTTTCCCCATCTGTAAAATGGGTTTGTAACACCTGCCCTGTCTACCTCACAGGATTGTTGTGAGGAAAACATTTGTGTATGGGAGAACATTTAAAAGTAAAGTATACAAATGAAAGATGGTTATTGTTATTAGCCTAATGAGGCAACAATCCAGGGGGAAAGGAAAGGGGGAAACACAAAGATACAGACTGCTACTTCACTCTCACAGTGAACTATTGCTATCCTTCATGAAACTTTTAATAATTGCAAGGTGTTTAGGACATGAAATCTTTTGTTAGCCAAGTGTGTGAAAAAGATATTCCAAGTTTTTAAAAGGCCTGTTCTGTAATGAAAAAAAAAATACTGTTGCAGATACAAATTTCCTTAAAAGTTCACATACACTATAAATTACTCAATAATTCAAATTCAGAATGAAATTCTGACCTATTTTTGGCTTCTAAAAATAGCTTACCATCGATGAGCAACAGGGCTGTGGGTCTTTTTAGTGACTATGATCATGGTAATACCATGGTAATTTTAATTGACATCCAAGAATTCCATCAGATCTCTGCCTGGTTTAAGGGAGCTGTAGAAATAACAGAAAACTGTGGGTTCCTGAAAATCCATGCAAGTTTTGAAAGTATTTAACCATGTAGAACAATGACTACAGAAAGCCTAGATAAAATCTTATTTATATGATGCTGCTAATGATATATGTAAAATATAGATTTAATGTAGTGCAATGTTTTTTATATACACTGGGTAAAGGGGACTGCTGTTCTATATTTGAGGGGAGGGTGAAGCAACAATCCAGTCAATCTAAGTTATATGACATGAAGTTCCAGAGGGAAAAATTATAATACATTACATTACTGATGTGTAATCTTTGCTGCCATGCTATGTTATCAGTAGCTAAAAAATAATAATAAAGACTACCACAGAAAACAAGAATATTTTTATTTTTGTGACATCTAGAGAGTTGGTAGGTATTGCATATTTCCAAGATTGCTTCCTACTAGAATTTTGTCATGAAAACAAGCATTTATAAAGTCTGATTTCTTTAAATAAAGCTATCATTTTTAAGCTGCTTAAAAGTTTTTTTTTTAATATACAATATATTACTGTCGAAATCCTGGAGAATTTATGTATACCTCCACTATATACAAGTAAGGAGAATATTTAGCTTAATTTTTCTAAGGTATTATTGAACCTAAATCAATAAAAGTGAAATTTTAACACCATTTTCAGATGTCACATAATCTTTATATTCAAAACTTTTATAACTTAATTGTTAATTTGCTTGGCCTCCAAATTACTAATCTTGCATGATATTTATATTCCTTAATTCTTAATTGAGGTGTGCAGATAGATTCCTGTGGTTCCAAGATGAAGACATTTTACCACAGGGGAGGGACTCCTAAATATTAGATGTTTAGCTGCAAATAGCCTGGATTTTTTTTTTCTGTTCTGAATGTTAGTATCTAAAGAGTTTATCCAAAAGATCTGAAAAGCTTTGCATCATTCTCCCTAGCCTCAATCTTCACTTTTAATATCATTATGCCATTACAGCCATAAGAAATGCCCTATTCCTAATTAAAAGCTTATATTGCCATCTCCCCCTCAGATTAGCATTACTTTTTATTAAAAGTTAGATATTGTAATCACAAAATCATGCAGCAGCTAATAAATATTCACTGATCTTTTTGTACCAAGTCATATGTTGACAATGAACACAGTAGTTCAGATCTGTGTCTTTTGCCTCTCAACCTTTGTCTTAATTGTGCTGCTCAGTAAAGAGATCACATTTTAATGATCAGATTATATGAGCCCTAAGATCATGGAATAAACCAATCCAAATCCAGACACCCACATGCAGGAGAGATTCCAGGAGGAAATATGTGTGGCCAAAATGAAGTTACTCATTTAAAAATCTTCCCAGTGTCAAAAATAAATGGGGCAGCTAGGTGGCGCAGTGGATGGAGCACCAGCTCTGAAGTCAAGAGGACCCGAGTTCAAATCTAGCCTCAGACCAAACGCTTGACACTTACTAGTTGTGTGACCTTAGGCAAGTCACTTAACCCCAATTGCTTAAAAATTAAAAAAAAAATGCAAACAGGCATAGTATAGCATTCAGAGCTCATTTATTGTTGATTAAACATGAATTTAACATGTACACTCATGCCTCTGAAAAAAGAGACTTGTCACTACTGCCTCATCATAAGCTTCTTGTGCTTTTATCAGCACAATTGTTTAACCAGTTACAAACGTGATACCTGCTTTTGTTCCAAGTACAGTCATAGGGAGAGGGATATTTTGTTTATACATGTTATGATACATACACATATGTATTTAGTGCATCTTTTATTCTGGTAAATAATTAGAAATGCACCCCTCTTTTCAGGTCTCACCAATCTGAAATATTTGAATTCTTTTTAATTAACTTCTTTTACTTTCTTAGTTGGAATTTTTCATTCTCCTCAAGTGGCTGTCTTCTGTCCCCAGACTATAAGTGATAGAAGTCCTGTTGACTAGTTCTCTTAAGAAAATTAAGTATATCTGCTGAAGTATAGTTCTTTGTCTTTGTGCTGCCTTCAAATAACCCATGAAAGTTTATGGGTGTTTTTGGCCCACTCCTGTGTGTAGCCAGTTACACATGTAGAATTAGAGAATTTATGATGACCTTTAGTGTTAGCCCCAACCAAGGTTTGCCTGGGCTGTTTTCAGAGCCAACATAGGTAGCCCTATGGCAGTACATACTTAGGTAACTTGTTCTGTTTGAGTATGTCATACATAGAAACTGGACTTTTAATCAGATGGAACTACCTTGATAAGATCTCCATAAGGTAAATGGGAGTGAGTGTAATTGGTAATCTCTTAATAAGAAATGATGAAATCAGAGGTATGTTTTGCTTTTTAACTACTTGCCCTTTGATCTGTCGGTAACATAGAATTTTCTAACAACCAGTAACTAAGGTTTGGCTACTTTTGTTTGCTTTACTATCACAAAATTGTAAAATTAGTCACTACCATCATTTCAGATGTATACTACAACATTGATATATGGTACTCTAAATACACTTTGCACAGTTTACAAAACCATACGTAAGCAAATCTCTACTGTTAGACAAAATGTGCTGTTACTTTGAAAAAAGGCACATAGTTTAATTCACACGTGAAATCCTACATTACACTGCATGAAATGAATGTTGATGCTTGTTGAATCTTTGTAGACAGCTCGGTTTTATTTTTATTTCTTCCAGTTGTGATATGTGAATGGACCCTCCTCTGCACCTAATTGTGCTAGCTTCATTACATTGAGGCTTTGGATATAGATCATTCCATTTTTATTTCCCCTCCATTTTAAATTGTATTTTTTTCAAGCAAATCAGTTATATAAACATTTCAGATGTATAGAAAACACTGAAGTTGCAAGCAAACCAAAATTTAATATCCTACTACTATGAGACAGTGTTGTTCTAAAGAGATTGAAGATATCTGAGATTTTGGTTAGGTTTTTTTTTAAGCAAATATTTATCATTCAGGCTTCTTTTAGTATTTTGTACTAAAAGTTCATCTGTCAGGTCATGGATGAACAATCTAAATTGTGTAAGTTGAGTACACTTACATAACTTAACACCCTCCATGAAATCTTTATCCAACAAAGGTCTAGTAAACATTAACAGAAGTTTTAAAAATAATACCAGTGTATATTTGCTGGTATTTTTGTCTTCCTTTTTAACAAAAGTTCTTTTTAATTGAGTCTATGATTACCACCAAAATCCTATTGAATAAAAATAGCTTTACATTAATACCTCTTTCCCAAAACATTGTATAGGTAGTTACATGGAAAAGTAATGCCAATGTGACTTCACATATATGCCAAAAAAGTGATTGACAAGTTCTGGTAACAACCTTAACTTAAAAAACGACACTTTCCAAAGAATTTCAGTTTCATTTCCCCAACCAGTTTTTACCTTGTATGTGCATACTACAAGTTCCAGTGCAATTCAGCGCTATTCATTCAGGATAACTTATTGAAATAATTATTGGATTGGTTCTATTCTTTGGACATTGAATGGTTTTTGCATTGTTGGGATAGACTAGATAACGCGCTGTATGTTCATACACATTACCAGTAATGATTCAGAAAAAATAGAAAATCTTTTGCTAAGTGTTCAGGAATGTAAGTTTAAAAAATTATACTTGATTAAGATTCAACTATTTATACAGATTTACACTACAGCTTAATAAAAATATATTGTATAATATTTAACAAAATTAAATGCATAAAATAAACTTTTCAACACTATACAAACCCCTAGAAAAGCTTTTTCTTTATAAGGCTGTTAGCAATCTCATAACATTGGGAAAAAAAATGTTTTTAACCTTTGGTTTCTTTACTACACCATTAGCATACAGTACAACTAAGAGTTTTTGATAAGCCATTTCACAGGAAACACTGCGTTGTATACAATAGAATACTCATGGCTTTTGAAGTTGTCAGTCACTTTCAGATTCTTCATCATCAACTGTTGGATATGACTGAATGTTGTTCTGTGTGTACATTTTTGTTTTAATTGGGCAGTTGTGATCCATGAGTATTGCCTAAAAGAAGTATGTAGTATTAATCTTTGAGTTGTTTTTGTTATGTAGCCTGTAATTTTGCTATTATAATTCTGAGTTTTAGAAGTACTCTTAATTTGCAAATTCTTTTTAGTAAGGAGCCAGTTAGCCTGGAACCTCTAGCAGTCAGTGGGTGCCCAAACCAAGTGTCTGCTCTTAATGATAGCATTTATTTAGCCTTTTAAGGTTGCAGTGCACTTAATGTTGACACAATTTTTCCTCACGATAACCTTGTATGAGGGTAGGTGATATTATCCCCATTTTACTGGAAAAGAAACTAATGCCTTGCCCAGAGTCACATAGCTTTAATAAGTGGCTGAGGCAGGATTCAAACGCACATCTTCCTTATCCCAAGTCCAGTGCTGTAACCAGTGCAGCACCCACTACCTTTCAAAAGTATTCAAAGACTTCAGGCAAAAGAATGGTTTCTAGAGCCTGAAAGCTCTTCATATGACTTAATTAGACCCATCAAAATGAGGGTTGGTAGCCAACAACCCATAAAACAGTAAGGTATTTATCCTGGGAATGCAAGTTAGGGTAAGTTTTGTACTATGCTTAGAATGTTAGAATTAGAGGGGCAACTAGGTGGCAGAGGGGATAGAGTGCTGGGCCTGGAGTCAGGAAGACTCATCGAGTTCAAATCTGGCCTCAGACACTAGCAATGTGACTGTGAAAAGTCACTTAGCCCTGTTTGCCTTAAACCGCTGGAGAAAGAAATGGCAAACCACTCCTGTATCTTTGTCAAGAAAACCTCAAATGGGGTCATGAAGAGTTGGACACAGCTGAACCAAAATGTTGTGGAATCTTGGAACTGGAAGAAGACTTAGGAGACTATCCAGTCTAGTCCCCTTCTTTTACAGAAGAAGAAACAGATCCAAAAAGGGGAACGATTTGCCTCTTAAGACACGGGGTTAATGTTAGGAACAAATCTGGACTCTGGGTCATGTTAAGTCCATTATGGGCATTTGGTGCCACACTGACTTCCCTGTTTTGCCTAGGAATGTGTTTCGCAAAGCTTTTCTACCTGACTTAGAGTCAGCATAGCATAGTAAATTTAGTGCTGGTCTTGGAATTAGAAAGACCTAAAGTTGGATCCTGCCTCACACAATTATTAGCTGGGTCACTGAGCAGGTCATTTCATCTAATAAGACTCAATTTTCTTCTGTGTAAAATGGGGGTAATAATAGTAACTTTCATAGGGGCAATGTGAGGATCAAATGAGATAATATATTTAAAGCATGTAGCATAGTGTCTGACATGGGGTGCTTAATAAATGCTTGTTGAAAGACAACCCATGAACTTCTGGAGGCTAGTACTCCTTCCACCACATTGCTAGCTTCTACCTGCAGATGACTAATCTGCATACCCACCTATCACACATTGGGGCCAATACAATTTTTATCTTTGGTCCACACCTATGATTTCATTGATGTTAGGTACTTGTGGTATGGAAACTTCTCCCACCAAACAATTCATGTGTAACCTACAGTCTCAGAGAATTGTCCAGGGGAACTGAGAGTCCCTTGGTCACATAGATTGCATATGACAGGCAGAGCTAGAGTCCAGGTCTTTCTGACTCCAAAAAGCCAGGGCTGTGCTATGCCACACTCTCTGGGAG